TATACAGATTGATAATTACTTACAGTTCCAGTACAAGCACATGGGCGAACCATTTCACCAGTTTCTGACTGACAGATTCGACAAGCTCTTTTTTCAATATGTGATGAATCTGATATTGTCTTTGGCGAACTAAAAATAGAAATACAAATGCATGGATATTTTATCTACAAAATATTTTTAATTAAGCCTTTTTCGAATACGAAAAAAGGGCTAAACATTTTTATTTGACAAATTACGTGTAACAAAATCAAACACGTAAAATTCTGTCGAAAAAAGATCAAACTTTCATTATTTGACAAAATTGTATTTGTTTAGATTGTCTAATCAATCTAATATACAGAAATTGACTATTAACAATTTTTTTTTACTTTTTCATAAATATTCTGTAAAAATTGTTACTTTTTGTCTTACCGAATCCACTATATTTTCTTGTAATTTTAGATTTGATAACAATTTATCAAGATAACAACGAGAGATACAATAAATTTAATTGAAGAATTATATTAAGTGATATTACTTGTATACATTTATTTATTTACTTATTTATTTACTTCTATATTACGAATAAATCTCAAGAGTAAAGCTTGTAGATTTTTAGCTCTTTTTTTTGGTTTTGGAATTTAAAATTTTCGCTCAAAAAAGCTTCTTATTTTGGATTATTTTTGCTTTTCCTGTCATCTAAACTGCTACCCCTCGATAAGGTTTTTCAAACAATATTTATATTACATTGAACACTTTTGAATATACAAATATTTGCTCATACTTTTTTCGCTTTAATTTTATTTTTATCGAACTCGATATTTTTTAATTAACATTTAATTATTACCTCATTTCCAAGCTTAAAAAAAATGCAATTTATCTGTAAATTTCCATTTAATTATGAATATCAGCTATTTAATAGTAATAATAATACTATTATTACTTATTATTATTATCGTTATTATTGTTATTATTAAATTATTCTTATTTTTGTTATCATTAATATTATTATTATTGCCATTAGCATTCGGTTTCAGTTATTAATTCCTTTAATACTAGCATTTTCATATATTATTTTTATTTAGCCATAAAATCTAAGCATATTACTGCATATTCTTGTGCTTTGCGTACTAATCATTATTAAGTGATCAAATGTTTTTTTTTACTCTGGAAATATTATAATTAGCCATTTTTCGTTAATAAATTTAAGCTTCTAAACTTTTTATAATTACCTTCAATAATTTAATTGCTCAATTTTGTGCATTCTCTACTCAATTTTAAAAGACTATTTTTTGTAAATAAAGAAGTACTTTAGGTGCAATTAATCAGTAATTTATTCAATATGAATTGGTTAACATATTAACTTTACCATATCTTTTTTTCACGAAAAAAAATTAACTCAAAAATATTTACTTACTTTGAAATGTCTACATGAACAGATTCCTGAAAATGAATAACGCGCATAGGTCCTTCTCGATTTTCAGTAGACATCTGAAACTGTGCTTCTGAAACTGTTACCGGTATCAGTGCTTGACTAACTACAGGCTCAATCAGTGATATGTCCTCTGATTTTCTGGATTCCTGCACTATTCTGCAGCTATCATTACCACTATTCGATCCCGTATCTGTAAAGTACAGTTATCTGAGTTATTATAATTTATTATAATTGAATTGGTTGTCGAAGTAGTTTGATATGATCATTTGTTCTTTCGATCATGATTTTAATATTTATATCAATATAGAATCAATGTAAAATTTTACTTAAAAATTATTTATCATAAGTTACATCTTTCTTCAGTTCAGCTGATTTAACTTTGACTCTATGCAATTACAACATGATATTCGTTAGCAATATCATTATCAGTATCTATACAGTATCTTTATCAGTATCAGTATCTGTACAAAATCTATAAGATTTTATGATACTGTATAGATTATTATAAAGAAAGATTCTTCAATATTCTGACTATTACTTTGGAAACATAGTAATTAGTCATATTCTTAATATTAATAGTAAAAGAATTGCATATATGAACTTTCTGGCTATCAAGCAAACGATGCAGGCAGTTTTTTGTTCTGATGTATATTAAATATGTCCTAACAAGATTTATGTCAACTTTTAGGCAAAAATTTTTTGCTGTATTTGTAAAGTTTCTTAAAAAGTATATATTCTACATAAATTTTTGTTTCCCTTTTAAAAAATGACATGGAACATTGGCTATAAAAATTGATTCTCACTGAGCAAACTTTTAAAGAAAGCAATTGCATAGGGAATTCTCGATTTTCACAAAATCTAAATTTAAAGCAGTTGAAAGATTCATTAGAATTGAAAATTACATCTATGTAAAAGAAATTCGTGAAATTGACTCACATCTACTAGGCAAAGTATCATCTGTTTCCACCTCAGCACCATTAATATTATCGAAAATTAATGCAGGACTTGATGAGTTGCGCGACCGCTCTATAGCCATTTTCTATGAATTACTGAATTTAATACAATAACTATCACTATTTATTATTATTATTATTATTATTATTACTCTAAAATGGACATTTTTTTAATAATTGATACTGTTTATGTGAGATTCTTGTAAAGTTATAGTCAAGTATTTCAAATTTTTTATAAAAATTAAGAAAATTTTTTTATAGTTTAGAGTGCAAATTATTGAGCTAAATTGATTTTAAAAAAAGTGTCATAATATTGAAAAATTCAAATTTTTAATTTTATTAACGAAAAAGTCTAAAATTTATTTGCAGTTATTTTTTCATACATTTTATAAAACTTAACTTCATGAGCAATAGATCAAATATTTTTGCAAATTTTGTTTAATTTTTAATTTTACAAAAAATTTAGATTTTTACTTTGATGTTGTTTTTTTCATTCTTCAATCAATCTTTCTATACTTTTACAGATGTCAAAAGTTAACCTTTTTGAAAGTCAAGAATAATATCTGAGATATTTTTTTGACATTCATAAAAAATATCCAAGATATTATTTTGACTTTCAAGAAGGCTAACTTTAATTTTTTTTCAATCATTTCAATTTTTTAACTTCTAGCAAATTAATCCATCCCAAATGTTTATGCGAGTAAGTATAGCTGCTAAGTTGATCATTTGATCCTCTCTTCTGAATGCAAAATCCTTCATTTCTGTTTTTGAAGTATTATTTCCAAAACTTGATTTGCCTGATTACATATGTGTGATATGCATAATTAAAACGCAGTCATCTCAAGCATAAATTTTAAACGAATTAATTTTTATTTAACAAATTTTAATGAATCCAAAATATGACTTATTAAAATCTTTTGGTAATAAATTTAATCTTCTACTAGTGTACACCGTTCATACGGATATATTAATCATCTATAGTTAGCAGAAAGCAGTCTCTGCTGAAGCTCATAAAATTATTCTCACGGGATATAATGGTTGATTAGACATTTTTTTAATAATTGATACTTGGCTAAGAAAAATATCTGAAAGTCAAATACAAGAATTTGCAAAGATTTGTAGCATCAACTCAAAATAATAATGAATTACTCTTTTTTGCTATTTGAAGGATTTTTATGCTGAATTTTTTTGAGGCTTACTTGTTGAGTTTGGAAGTTTAGCTTCTTCTTTTTTTGCTAAACTGAAATGCTTCTTTTTGGAATAAAAAATTTTAATTTGTTAAGAGATTTCTTCATTTTTATGGTTGATGTTGAATTGTTGATTCAAAGTAAAAAAAGTATAAAAAATTATTGTTAATTTAGCAGTTAAAATAATAATGCATTTTTAATAATTGACTTTAATGAATAAAATGTTTTATAATACACAAATAAAGTTTTGAGAAAATGTTTAATATCTTTAATATTAATGTTTTTACAATAGTTAAATAGATATGTAAGGCCGATTTATGAATATTACTAACAATTATCAACTGTGAAACTTACTTTCATTACTACTTTTATTGGAAATTATTTCCATAAAAATAAATAATAATAATAATTATTATTATTCATTGAGATAAAGTATGTATGAGATGCCTTTTACAATTTGTGAATCTTATCAAATCTTTTGTATAATTATTTTTAATTTTTAACAAAATGAAAGATAAGTTATTTATTCAAATTGTTTTACACGTGTAATACTTTGGCGGTCAAGTTACAGCATCTGTTTAAATTTTTAAAAATACTCAAAAAATTGGAAAAAAAAACTCAAATTTTGCAATGAATTTCTTACTTTTTTAAAGTAGTACACTAAATAATTTGAAATTTAATGGTTTCATTGCCAAAAGTTGAATTTTAAAAAATTCATGCTCTACTCAATAAACATTTTTCAAATTATTCAGCAAAAATTTATAAGAGTAAAATCATAACAACGAATATTATTACTATTATAGTTTGTGTTTAAAATGATATTTGTCATATTTATACACTTTTTCAACGTATTATTACAAATTCAAATTTTGAGCAAATTTAGAAAAATTAAAATTTTTAAATTAATTTTTCTTTAAATCAGAAAGTAGTTGAAAAGTTGACATGATATACTGTATGCGATCAAAAAGATTATCGTTTACCATTTTATTATTTATCTTCTGAAATTAAAATTGGCTACCATATAAATTATCGAAATTTTTTAATAAAAATACCATTAATAATCTCAATAATAAAAAATTATGGTAATTACGGTACTGAAAATAGTAAATTTTTTATTTGAAACCAGCATTCATTGTTATTTCCAAAACTTGAAAAATCGGCTGATTAACAATACTCGGCTATAAAAGTGATAAAACCGTTAGATGATAATGATTTGATTAGATTTTATTTTTTAAATACATTTTATCACTGCAAAATTATTTTTGGAAATTTACTGCATAATTACTAAAAGTTGTACTAATTTGTTGACAACAAAATGCAAACGAAATGGTTTGTTCGAAATCTTAAATCACAAATTGAATTAATCTGATAAATAAAGTTTGAATGCATCCAAAAAACTGCAAAAAGTCAAAAAACAGCCATTTCAATAAGTACTGTATGATAATGATAAGTTTTATTGTTGATCCTGTGATTACATCAGAATAATTGCGGATAAATGCTACGAGAATTTAGAATATGCAAATATGCACATCTTATTCATAATTTATTCATATTTCATTCATTTTGTTATGCGAGGAAAAATTGATCAATAATAAAAAATATTGAATCAGTAAAAATTTATCATATCAGTGATTTAAAATGTTATCATTTTTTTAAATTTTATTTTAAGCCTCAATTTATATCAAATAATTAAGACTGCAGCAGTTGACTATTTATTTTATAAAACTTTTTCATTATAAATTTATTTAAAAATATTGATGATTTTGATTTTTTTGACTAATCAGATAAGGAGCCATCTTGATTTGCTTTCACACTTACAAAAGAAATCATGAAAACAAAATCATAAAGTGTAATCATGTTAATGAAATTAAGTTTATTTGTCTTGGCAAGTTTCAATAAAGTTTTAAATTTGCTAGCATTTTTGTAACATTTAATCACTTTTCTCGTATCAAAAGAAAAAGTTTCTCGACTTTACATTCTTTTTTTACCATTTTTTTGACAATTTTAAGTTTTTTCAAAAATTTTACAAAAAATTAAACATCGCAAAAGTTATCTATGATAAATTAATTTTTAACAAAAAAAATACTTTCAAATTTTTTTGATTTTTTTGATTTTTTTAAAATATTGATCCATATTTTAGTATTAGTTGTTATTTGCAAATTATGTTTTGATAAGCACTGATTTTCATTTTATTCATCAAAATTTAGCAGATTATACATTGTGGTTGCGATAATTTTTGTTCAATTTTATATATTTAAAAAAGATTTCTTTTAAAAATGTTTTTAAAAAATTAATTTATTCAAGACTCAAATACTACTTTTGAAAGGAAAATAAACTGGCCAATTATTTGTTCGATTTTTTCAATTTAAAAGAAAAAAAAAATTATATTTTATTATTCTTGAGAGTATCATCAATATTTTAGTTCTAAAACTTATTATCGTTGCTTGTTTTGATTTCTACTTTTTTTTTCAAAAAAAAAAAAGAGGAAATTCAATTTTGTAAAATTAATTATGAAAAAATAAATAAAGTAATGACAATTATTCGTAACTTTCATCCTTTTATAGAATTTTGAATTGATATAAACTAGCACTGAATTGAATTGTGTGCTTCTTGAAAAGATGAATATTCTTCTAGGCCTATTGGCTTTTTGATGGATATTCTTCTTGGCCTATGAGCCGATTGCTTTTTTTTTTTTGATTGAATTAAACGTTTGCAGTCAAAATTTAATAATCATGCTGGTGTTTTTGAATCCTTTATATTCTTGAAAAATTGCATAAATTTAAAAATGTGTAGTGCTTAAATTATTTGCAGCCTAATTGTTTATTCATATGCAAATTGTTTGTATTTGTTGTTAAAATTCTGCTTTTGATTGAATTGAAAAAGACTAAATGAAGCAAGAAATTGAAGAAAAATGTTATATATTCGCGGGGGTGGAATACTTATATCATTTGCTTCATTTAATCCTCAAGCTATAATTTCTTGAAGTAAGAATACAGTTTCCAAAGCAAAAAGAACAAATAAATACATAATTAAAAAATATTTTGAAAATTGTTCAAATAGAATCAAAATTTTTGTATATTACCAAAATTAAAATTAAAAATGCATACAAAAAATAATCAAAAAATTTATCATTCACTGAACGACATGAAAAATATTTTTAATAAAGCATATTGTAATTAATTGTAGTAACTTTATTAATTATACTTCACATTTTTAAAATATAATATTCAAAATATTTGAATTGCAAAATGCAATGGAATGCAAATTTAGTTGTTTATTGTCCAATTATTTAGCATAAAGATTATAAGAATGATCAAGTATTGAAATGAAAAAACCATTACTGATTTTTAATCTTAAGCTAATCAAAAATCCATTTGTGATTAACTTAATTGTGAAAATTTTTGAATACTTCGAAAATTTTTTCAAAAAATGTAGCTAAGAAATAATTACAATAATTTAAATTTGTGAATTAATCTTTGTTATAAATTTAAGAAAGTTTATGTTCTATGATTTATTTTTTCAATCTTTTCTCTACACTATTTTGCAAGTTATCTGTCCTTTCTCCTGTTTTCATACAAAAATAAATACTATCTATGGGTATTTAATTATTCCATCAATTTGAATTTCATTACTTTTAGTTGTGTATTAATTTAACGTTTAAAATTAGAATATGCCACTTTGAAGTATTAATTTTTTATAGTTTAATACTTGTATTCTTTTAAATGAAATATTATTTTTACTTGATCATTTTTCCAGACTTTTAAAGAACTTTATCATGCAAATACAGCAAGTAAGTTTATATTAAGTGCATGAAATGAAACTGATACATAAGCTCTTCTGATAAATCTTTCATACAGACTATCTGATAATTTGATTAATTTTGCTTAATCCGTTGC